CTCTTTCTGCTTTCCCATTTCTCAAAAACTCCACCAACCTCTATGCCTCCCCTTGAATTCAGTAAGCTGGGATTTCATGTCACATATGGACTTGGATATGTCAAGTGCCCAATTCACAAATTATGTGTGCCTGTTATGCTACCATGGTGTATTCTGTACTAGGAAGGGCTTATGGGAGCTTATTTGCATCCACATTGAGAGTGCATTGTGCTTCAAAGGAAAATGATGGAGAGAAGACAGGACTCCTGTCCTGTCCCAGCTCTGCCTGAGCTCACAGAGTAGTGCTGACAGTGCATATATTAAAAATATGAAAGTTCCAAACAGGTTAGGGCAAAACTCTTCAGTGAGATCTGCTGAGATGAGGCTTTCGGCGTCCACCGCTGCTCTGGATCCTCTTGAGATGAGCAGTGCACTTGTAGCAGAATCAAATATGTATCACATACATGAGTTTTCTGTTAAATGAAAGTGCTGACATGACACTGACAATGTCATGACCCACCAGCTAAATTTGCAGAGGTTGGGAAGAACTGTCTTTTGTTTCCAGTGCTGAGCAAGGGTGGAGAAAAGGTGGGTTCAGTTCTGGGTGTTCCACAGGCTTTTTGTGTGAGGTAGCATGGCACATTTAATCTCTCTGCACCTCAACTCCCTGTCTATGAAACAGGGATAATGATGCATCCTGGCCTCACAGTAGGAGGTGAGGGTAATTAATTAACTTCAACAAACATTGAGATGTTAGGGATAATAAGGATGGCATACTGTCTTAGGTAAACACACAGCTACATAGAAATTAAACCTCAAATTCACCTTGCATTAGCTCACTCCTTGGTGAGTTATTCCAGATTTGCACTTATAGAGATAAGAGCAGAAGTTTGGTTATTGTTTTGACGTGTGCATTTGGTAAGCCACATCAGAGTAATTTTTGTTTGGTTGTTGGTTTGTTTTCTTTAATTAGACAGTCTTTTCATATATAACAATAGAATGAAATAAGAAATTGGGAAAATAATAGAATCATTTAGACTGGAAAAGGCCTTTAAGCTCATTGAGTCCAAAATGACTGCAGTGCAGCATGCTTATAACTTTATGTTATCTTTTTCAGCTGATAAATGGTGGTGAAGATGTGTTGATATTCTACAATGACAGAGCATCATTTCCAGTCCTACTTCAAATGATGTGTTCTGAGCGGGACCGAGCTGATGAGAATGGACCTTTAGCTTATCACATCACTCTAGTGGAACTGCTAGCAGCTTGTACAGAAGGAAAGAATGTATACACAGAGATCAAGTGCAATTCACTCCTGCCATTGGATGATATAGTGAGAGTAGTGACCCATGATGACTGTATTCCTGAGGTAAGATTCACTGAATGAGAAAGCAGACTTAGCACTTTGAGAAACACAGACAATGTTTTGTTGTTTATAATATACTGACAAGTTGAGTATTTGCACAGAAAATGGGCTGGAAACAGGTGGTGTTTCTTAAGATGATTAAGTGAGAAAAGATAGACAGTATTTTCTTTGACAAAATTTCCTTGTCTCTTACGTTTTGGTTGTCAGCTTTTCAGGGCAGACACCTTGTTTTGTTTCCCTGGCTTTGTCCAGCCACTGTCAGTTTAATGCTCTTGATAAACTCTGACTGTAGCTATGGTGACCCTGCTGACTGGTTGGTCAAGCCAACGTTTTGCTGCTGCTTGAATTTGCTGGAAATGATGGGTAACATTCTGTCCATGCTGAAGTCAGTGGGAGTTTTGGGTGAAGTCTCATTTTATTGAATTCAATTGCAGTCCAGCAAATGTTTTTATTCACTGCATATCGAGGCACAATTCTGCAGCTACTACCTGTCGTGCTGTGATACTAGGACTGCGGTACTATCTGGTGGCAAAATGGGGCTCAGACCGCAGAACTGGGACTTGCAGGAGTTAAGATTCCCTCTGTGCTGTGAAAAAGTCCCCTTGTGATCAACGGATTCTTTTCTTAAAAGAGAAATGTTTGCTTTGCTCAAAAGTTCCTCCTAACATTAATTTCAACAGATGCTAATTAAAAAAGAGCCCAAACAAATGAAACCTAGAGCTCTGATCTGTGTTTTTCCCTGTCTGTATTAAACATAGGCAAGTATCTTTTCTCCTTTGACCATGACAAGAGGTTTTCAGTGCGTCTACATACATTTATATTTAATCTATACATTTCAGGCACTGGATATCCATTTTCATGCTGTGTGCATGCAAACTTGTAATACTGGAGGGGAGCGTGACCAGAGTCCTCCTCTTATACCTTTGCTACTGTTGCTGCAGTCCCAGTGCTCCACAACCTTTCTCCTTCATTTAGATCTCAAATGCAAGTGCTGCATTAGGATTGTGGGAATACAGGGACTGAAGTCCCAGCTCTGCTAAAGACAATTATTTTTGTCTTTGGCAAGCCTGTCACGAGGAATCAGCCCACTGCAGTCAACTACCAAGTGCAGGGGTGTCCTGCATTTTGACAGCTCCTGGCTTTGGAGCTAGGCCCTTCTAGTCTTAGTATCATTTAAATATAAGAATTATTATTGGTTTATTTTCTGGGGGTTTTGTCATTAGAGTAAGAATGTTTGCAAAACCTTCTCATTTTTCTTCATGTGATCTTTCAGTAACTACTTTGAGGCATGTGTTGCTGTGCTTCTCCTTAAATCTTCAGAACCAAACACACACATTATTATGGTTATGAATGTTTGTTAGTGCTGGAAGGTTCGTCTTTATTGTTCAGTATTTCTGGAGATAGAAAATGTTATGTTAATGGTTTTTACTGTTTCATTTCATGCTGATTGTGTTTTTGCTGTTCCTGCAGGTGAAAATTGCCTATGTTAATTTTGTTAACCACTGTTATGTGGACACTGAAGTGGAAATGAAAGAAATCTATGCCAGTAACCATATTTGGAAGCTATTTGAGAACTTCCTTGTTGATATGGCAAGGGTAAGCTTCACCAGGCATTAAACATTACAGCACAGCAGGGGTGGCAACTGGCAATAACTTTTTTTGTGTGTGAACTTCTTATATTTTGTTACATATTTTTATTCAAAATTGGCAATAGGGTAAGTGTGGTTTGTTGTTTTTATAATCATTTAACCTGCTAATTACTAGCAGTCATCCTTTCTAAAAGGGCATTTTGGAACCCATGAGCATTTCTCTTTTCTTCCAGAGGAATAAATTGGATGCATGTACAGGGTTGAGAGTCTGTGTACATCTCTTGGCAATGTGTGTTATATATCATTATGGTGGTGATTAAAAGAACCCCACATTTGTAGTCTTCTTGCTTTACTCTGTTGGTATAGTGAGGATTGGGGATCAAGAAAGACATTCTTTGCCTTGTGTTCCTTCTTTAACCTCACTTCTGCCTGTTTTTGTCTTTTATTCTACTGTCACTACATTTTCATTGCTGATGTGAATGCAGATGTAGAGCTATGGTCCTTCAGAATGCTGATTCATATATAAACTGTTCTGCTAGGGGATGGGGCACAGCTAGTACTGTAGGCATGTGATTCCTGTGGTCCCTAGTGAGCTTCATGGTGTCACTACTTGTTAAATTAAGTTTTAAATTAGAAGTTGAATTAAGCTTCCTTTCCCTGGTATTTTAAAGGCAGAAAACAGGGGAAATCTTATGACTTCCAGGGGAATAAAATACAGTAACAGAGCCATGAGGGGAAGCTAGTGTGATGTAATGATTACAGCTTACATTACACATCTTTTTCTAGGAGCTTAATACTTCTTGTAATTATAAATAATGGTAATATTAATGCCAACTCATGGATTTGCTCATTCTGCTCATGAAGTAGAACCACAGGTTTTTGGTGGCTGCTGGACTGTATTTGATCCTTGAAGCTCAACAGTATTTTGGAGATGTTATAGAGCATGTTGTGATAGTACATACCTATCTTTGCCCAGTCCACAGTCCATTACATTTTATAATACTTAAGTTCTCTAATACTTCTTGCGTTCTTCACTTTGTTGAAATAAAGAAAACACAAAGGTAAAAGAATTTCAAGTCGATCTTTCAGCAGACATTCACTCCAAACTAATAGTGTGCCACAAAATAATTTCTTGGAAACCTATTGGGAGAAAATGCTGTGAATTAAGGCTAAAAGAATGAGTGCAAAGACTTGTGCTGTATGATAGGCACGGAGACCTGTTCATTTCACAGTGAAACAGAAAACTTATAAATGGTTGAGTTTTTTCTTTTGGGTTTGTTTTGGGTTTTTTCCTTGGTTTTACCCTGGGAGCAGGTTAGGCAGGGATGTTGTTCAATTTTTTTTTGGTGGTAGCTGTTTTCAGCAGTAATTAGTCCTCACCAAACCCTGTTTCCCTGCTGTTTGTCTTGTGTCTGTAGTTGTGCTCTGTAGCGAAAGCCTTCTGGACAAACCAAGCTCAGTTGAAAATTAAGATCAGAAACATCCTTGGAGGGGTATTCTGACTTTTAACCTTGCTGGTTTTACCCCAAGAAGTATTTTCTCCTGTTTAATTACCTTTCTGGGTTGCCCTTTCCTGACATGTCCTGACCCTGACCCTCCAAACAAACTATCCCTCCTCCCTAGCCCTTGAACGTGACCGATTTTCTGTGCCCTTGGGCTAGAGGCAGATATGTGAAAAGAAGGCTCTGTTCACATTTCCTCTCATGACCCTGGAGACAAACTGCACTGTGCTAAACGATGTAAGGTTGGCCTGATGGTAGTGACCACCAAGCTTGTTTTCACATCCCCTGCTCATAAGAGAAATCAGACCCCAGGCCTTCAGAGGTGAAGAGTGAGTATTAATGCTGTATTTTCTGTGCGGGTGCTGTTGGCAACGAATGGCAAAATGCAGGTTTGTTTTGCTCTCCTGCAAAGCCTCAGGGCAGATGCCAAATTAGTCCGCTTAATTTCCTGGTTAATGACTAAAAGAACTAAAAGAGCAAGTCAGAAGTGCTCTGGCCTGTCCTGCTCTCCAGCCAGGTCCCCGTGGATAGCTGTATTTTCCAGGTTATTGAGCATATTTGTTGAGGTTTGCTGTTCTGGGGCCCAGACAGAGCCCATGTGTTATAAATACATCAGCGTTCTGTAGCTGTCAGGACAGTTAGAATACTGTCAGCCTCATGAAAGATGTTACAATAGCTTTCAAAGCATTTAGAAAAAGAGCCCTTTGATCCTCTGTGTTCCAGTGAGCTAAAAGGGATGCTTTTGCGTGGGGGAAGGGGAAACGCTTTTCTTTTAGCTGCTACAAATGCCTGTCAGTGGGTGAGTTTGTGAGCTCTGAGTCTGGGGTTGTTATTAGAGAACACTAAGGTGAAAGACGGAGAGTGTTATCCTCAGGTTGGATTCCTTCAGTTTTTTATATCTATCTAAAAAAAAAAAAAAGAGTAACCAATTTTTTTTTTTAGCTGTTTCTGGATTCAGGAAGGAAACATTTAGTCCCCAACTGTCATTTTTTCTTTC